GAGAATTATTTGTTCTAAGTGATTGGAGAAGGTCACTTTTCTAATAATTAGTTTATAAAAACATTGCACATTTTTTTTTCTCTTAGGTGTGCTTTAGAAATACAATTTTTAAGTAGAACAAGGAATAACTCAAAGATTAAAATTGTGTATTCATATGTGGCCGTAATGTAATTTTAGCAGCATAATATTTTATTCATAGTCTAAATACTCAGATAAGTGTAAAAGATTATGAATATATTTGTTTTTTATTAAGTGAAAGATTATTTCCTGTTTGCTGGTTTATGTTTGAATCCATTTTTCATTTGCACTCTTGAAAATAGCATAGTAAAATGGAACTAGTGTCTTCTAGGTAGGGCATGATTTCTTTCTAGGTAGGGCAAGTATTCTTTGTGTATGCTTTGGTCAAACCTACAGCATATCTTAGTTTTCTTCTTAGATATTTAGTGTTTGCTAAAAGTCCTTCTGCTCATTTCTTACCCTGTTCTGTTCTAGGTGCGCTGACTTCAAACGGTATAAATGCAGATACCAGTTCTGAGATAGGACGTGCCAAGAATTGCCTTAGTCCTGAAGATATCATAGACAAATACAAAGAAGCCATTTCTTACTATGGCAAGGTAATCCTACTTATTTTTAAGAAACTTCACTGAAATTCTTGTGAATAATGAACTGCCGTGGTTTTGGTTTCAGAAGATCTTCTAAAGCATGTGCAATAAAGTTTGTAAAACATGTGATAATGGAAGAAATAGGAATAATTTATACTACTGAACTAAGTGCTTGGTTTAGAGTCTGGGAATCTCAGAACTTTGGCCAAAGACACCACCTAAACCAGCGATGTGCTGCGTAAACTATTTACTGGGTCTCCTAGTACCTAGAGGTTTTGGATTAGTTGCCTTATATTTTTAAAGCACTCTAAGCAAAAGTGTTAGATATTTTAAGGGTTGTTAACTATTACATATGTTTATGGTCCTTAATACATACACCAGTAATAGAATAGTCTATTTCAGTTGGAAGGGACCTACAATTATCATCTAGTCCAACTGCCTGACCAATTCAAGGCTGACCAAAAGTTAAAGCATGTTATTCAGGACCTGCGACCTTGGCGTTATCAGCACCATGCTTTTATGCATTGTGTAAGCTTGAATGCTTATTTACTGTGCCTGCTGGAATGCTCTCTGGGGAATTCAAGAGTTTATGAAGAGGTTGCTGATGTTGGTTATGATTTTACAGGATTGTTCAGGGAGGCTAGTATTTAGAGCAGGTGGAGAGGTAGGGGGTCATGGAGGAAATGTGGAGGACGGATATTCTTAAAAGAGGATTTACAAAAATTAAACAGTTTTCAGCTCTACTGGAGTATTTTTTTAGATTTTTGTGCGAATGCTCAGAGCGTAAGATAGTAAGGTAGCTTAATGTTTGCATTCATAATATGGAGAGAAAAAAAAGGATTTCATACTGTGACAATAGTAGCTCAGTATCCACATCAACATTAAAGATAACTTTAATGGTATTGCAGTGTAGTTATTTATGCTTTTTAACTTCAAGTATCTCTCTTGTTTGATATTGAAAGTATCTTTAGACTAAGCTCTGTAAATATGATACGGCATTTCCACGTCTGTGTTGAAGGGAGACTCTTCAAATGAAACATGATACATGGTGTGCATGAGTTAATTTATGATCAGAAGCAATGAAATGTGATAGTTTTGGGGATAGTTTCCGATAAATTTGAATCAATCAATATAACGATAATTCTCAAGTATGCATTCAGCTTTTTATGTTACCTTAAGGGTAAGTTGCTCATCTAGAAAGAGTATGATTTCTTTAGAAATATAAAATTATTGGACTTTGTTTGACTTAGGGCAGGATATTTATGTTTTGATTATAATAATATACTTTATGCTCTCGAAGGGAGATAACTATGCTTCAGTGCAGCTTCACTTGCAGATAACAAAGAGCTTTGTCTTGGGACTGATCTATAACTGTTCAAGACAAGCATAGTTACCTTTTGTCTACGACCTACATATAGAGTAACTCCTAGCTCTAATGCTGAGGAATCAGCACTTTCGACGTATTTTTTTATGTTATCACTGAGCTTAAGAAACTTTTGTAGCATCTTCTAAAATGGATTCAATCTGCAGTGATTTGTTTTTGCTGATACAAATGCACAAGAGAGGAACAGGTAACTGCTTTGGTGGAGTAACTCTTGCATTTTGTTCTGAGCTTTATTTCCCCCATTAGATTTCAAACATGATAAATATTTTTTTTTCAGCAGGAGATAGGCCAACTCAAATATCCATTATCAGTATTGTTTGAGGAAATAACTAGATCAGATTGTTTGTCTAGAAAATTGCCTGTGTTTGTTGTCCGAGCTCAAACTGATCAATGCACATCTACTTTGTCTCCTGCCTTTCTTAAGCAAGCTGAATACTGTAGCTGAAACAGTCATTTACAGAAAATGTTTTGTAAATAGATATTAGAAAACTCAGAATGGTTTGTAATTCACTCATCATCAGTGATACTGTTTTAACTAAAGGGAAAATTGATGCAGTAAAACTGAAGTTCTGTTGCTACAGCTTCCTGTGCTATATAATGTATTTTGTAATAAGTAGAAAGGCAAAACTAATTATTCGTTTATCGTGATAGAACAGTTTTAGGTGGTGAAGAATTACTGTAAAACTGACCTTTTTGCTTACATACCTATTACAGTGTCTTTGTGGCAGACACACCACCCACACCCACCATATATATATGAGGTTATCCAAAATGATGATACTAACATTCCCAACTTTTCTCCTCATCTGAACTCTCAGACTGAAGCTGTGCTATGTCTCAAAATAAGAAAAGCGAGTGAAGAGGCTGAAAACTGTTGTTTTGCATAATAACATTTTAGATGACACCTTAATTTTCGCTTGGGCCTATGTTGTTAATTTAACAGTATAGTCACTAGCACTGAGGGATCGCTGGGTTTGGAAGATGTGACAGCTGATTTATGTATTGAGCAGAAATACTTATAAAATCTTAAGAGGTGTGATACTTCAATATTATTTTAACTTTCTCTCTCCAAGTACAAGAATGCTGGTGTGATTGAACTGGAAGCCTGTGTGAAGGCAGTGAGAGTCCTTGCAATACAGAAAAGGAGCATGGAAGCCTCTGAGTTTCTTCAGAATGCAGTTTATATCAACCTTCGTCAGGTTAGTGCGGAAAGTCCAGTTTTTCTTCTCTTCTCGTTTGAGAGTGAAAGCGAAGTGTGAAAGTTACTTAGATTCAGGAGACTCCAGGTTCTTTTCTGTATCACTGCCTTCCTTCTCACTAGGACTTGACTTCTGAGGATTTTCACATCTGAGTCTGGTTTAAAAGGTATTCAGACTTCATCTGAAAACATGATGACTTAGTTTGAGATTGGAGACTCCATTGGTTATTCTCCGTTGTGAAGAAAAAGAAATCCCATTGTTGTTCTATTGTGATGTTGTACTAGGAAAAATAGCTCCTTGGGAGAAATCTGCAATGGATTTTTTTTTTCTTCTTGATTGTATCTTGTTCAATGAAACTGTGAGCAAATCAGGAATGACCTATTGCAAAGTGAGCTTGAGTCGGACTAGTGTTGTTAATTGAATTTTTGTTGTGTAGTGTGGAAGTCTTGGTTAGGTCAAATCAGAAAGGAATTCAGAGGAGAAAATCAGTGTTTGGAACTGTGAGAAAAATGCTCAGTACCACCACAGAATACGACTAACACTTTATCAGTGTCTCAAGCTTGGTGTCACTGGTTACAGAGAGACTGCTGTGGTTGAAAGAATCCATAAAAAGCTGTTAGGTTTCTTATCGTTTTTCCTTTTCTGCTCATTATGTCTTGGTAAGACTAGCAATTTTAAGTCCACACCATTGAGCTTATTAAGCCCAGATTGGGACAGCAAATTTATGAGGGAGGTAGAATACTGTCTTTTCATTTGTGGAGAATCCTTTCTGTGGAGTCAATTTTCTAACTCAACATAAACAAGAAAATAATTAATTGATAAGCTATCATAAAAATAATCAATTTTGTCGCAGAGTGCCTTAACTGCTGTAATCCTTGCAGTGCTAAGGGCCTTCTCTTTAATTCTGTAGTTTGTCTTTCACTGGCAGCTCTGTAGCCTTTCACGTAAGCTGCTGTGGCAGTATTCTTCCCTTGTTGTTCTTGCGCTGTTATTCTCGTGGCCTGCAAACTCCAAAATTGTTGTTATGTTGTTTTTCTTACGGAAGCAATTACTGTCATTGTGAGAATCACCTGGTCTCCTCCCTGACACCACTGATGTTGAACTTCCACTTTATATTAGAGGAAAAAAATAAGACTTAGTGAATGGCAAAATACATGTGTCATTTAAATAGCTGATAAGTATTACCTAATAATACACAAGCACAAAGCTTGGCATCTAGTCAGCATGCAACCCGTGCCCTGATCAAAGCTTGCCCCAGCCAGCTCTAATAGTGTCCCAAATAGAAACAACTAAGAGTTTGAGTGGGTCCTGATAAAACGCATCTAGTGAAAAAGTGTGGTGAGAAGGCATCATTGTTTTTGTCACTTGCTGTGTTGGAGAGAACCAGAGAAGGGTGTTCTGGAGGCCCTACTGCTTTTCTTCCTAGCTGGCTGGTCTCTTTCTCTCTGCTTTGTTTTTCCTTTAAAGGAACTTTGAACTTGATGTATGCCATCAGCTATTGACCCTGCAAATAAATCTTTGCGCATGTAAAGCATGCCTCAGTGTGCATTGTCACACTATGTAAAATATATTCTATAAATGCCAGATCTCCCACTGTCTGGATAACCTTGAAATAAAAATCAGGTATATTATGTATTTTTGTTGTAGCTCAGTCAGAATTTAGGGAGTTAATGCAGATATCATCTAGCAACCTTCAGCAAAGTGTTTGACACTGTTTCCCACAGCCTTCTCCTGAACAAACTGGCAAGTTACAGACTGGATGGGTGCAAGATGGGTAGGAAATTGGCTAACAGGCCGCACTCAGAGAGTGGTGATCAAAGGCTTTTACTTGGGCTGGCAGGCTGTCACAAGTGGGGTCCCTGTCACGAATGAGTGGAATGCACCTCACTCAAAAGAGAGAAGCAGCAAATGTGTTTTATTGAGGTCAATGAATTCGATGGAATTTAACGAAGTTTAACAGGGATTTGCCAATGTTCAATAAGTTTGATGGCAAGGTTCACCTTATTAATTACTGCATGGAAGAAACCTACAAAGGAAAATTGAGTTAGAATCGAGTTAGAATGATTCACACAGAGACCGGAGATGCAAAAGGGTAAGGAGGACCCTCCCGTTGAGTCACGAGGTTCAGAGTGGACCCCCTTGCTTTCTAAACTCCTTATGGAGCCTAGGTGTGTCTATGTCCGATCTTAGTCTCAGACTTGGACAACGGTTTATGTCTAATGGAATTATCTATACAAAGTTTATAATAAAGTTGAGTAGCTACATGGATTAGTAATGTTTCATTAATATTAATTCAGCATGCTATCAGTCACTTACCGAGGATCTGTCGTGAGTAAGGGATCTCTCTGCCTTGGGCAAGAAAGGATCTTTTAGTCTCAGGTAAAGAATCTCAGACCTTGAGAGGTGTCCTTACTCAAGGGAAGAGTCACTTGGTGTGCAGTCCAGCTGCAATTCAGGGAGAGCTCAAATTGGACTTATCCAAAGATCTGCCGTTGGTAAAAGGTTTCTCTGCCTTGAGGAGCAACCTTGAGAGGCGTCCCAGCTCAAGGGAAGATCACCGCCATGCAGCTACGCTGCCTAACAGGGAGAGCTCAGAGGTGACTCACTTAGGCTGTCATATTTATGGGATAAAGTGGTTGGCTCGTAGTCAAATCACGTATGATGGAAAGGTAGGCATGAGGCTCCTTGTACCCACAACTTTGTTCCTTGGTAAATGAGTCTTAGAAAAGCCACCCACTATTCATGTGTTAATCGCCATGATTGGTGTTCCAAGCTCATGTGCATCAATGCTCACTGTGACACTCTGCTCCTTTGTGGGTTTTCAGAGAACAGATTGAAACTAGAGGATTTCTTGGCCTGGCTACGGCTCAGGCCTTTGCCTCCTTTGGAGCCTGTCCCAAACTACTGCTGGTTTTTGGTTAAGGGGTTGAGTCCACCCATCACAGTCCCACAGGGATCAATACTGGCCTGTTCAACATCTTCAAAAATGATCTGGATAATGGGATTGATGATGACACCAAACTGGGTGGTGAGGTGGACTCATCAGAAGAGAGAGCCATTTTACAGAGGGACCTGGACAGGCTGGAAGAGTGGGCTAGCAAGAACTGTATAAGGTTTAACAAAGATGAGTGCAAAGGCCTGCACCTGGGACGACATAACGAAAGAGCCCAGTACAGGCTAGGATCTCTGTGTGGCTGGGCAGCAACTTTGCTGAAAGGGATCTGGGCGTCCTGGTAGACAACAAACTGAACAGGAGTCAGCAGTGCACTGCTGCAGCAACAAAGGCAAATTGGATCCTGGGCTGCATCCGCAGGGGCATTGCTAGCAGAGACAGGGATGTGATCATCCCACTCTACTCAGCGCTTGTAAGGCTGCACCTGGAGTACTGTGTCCAGTTCTGATCCCCACAGTATCAAGAAAGATACGGACAGACTGGAGAGGGTCCAAAGGAGTGCAACAAAGATGATCAAAGGGCTGGAGAACCTGCCCTGATGAGGAAGGAAAGACTGAAGGAATTCGGTCTTTTTCTCCCTGGAGATGAGAAGGCTCAGGGGGGATCTCATCACAGTATTCCAGTACTTAAAGGGCAGCTACAAAGAGGACAGAGGCTCTTTCCTCACAAGGAGCCACATGAAGAAGACAAAGGGCAATGGGTACAAGTTGCACTGGGAGAGGTTTCATTTCAGTAGAAGAAAAAAAAATTTTTCAGTAAGAACAATCATTCACTGGAGCAACCTCCCCAGGGACATGGTGGAGTCTGCATTGCTGGAGGTTTTCAAGATGCTACTGCACAGGGTGCTAGATGATCTTATCTAGACTCCCTTTCCCATGAAATGTTGGACCAGAGGATCTTTCGAGGTCCCTGCCAACCTTGGCTGTTCTATGATGATTTTGTATCACTGAGTGTAACTCATCGTTTGCACAACATGGGAGATTAAACTAGATGATGATGGTACTCAGTAGATGTGTTCTAGAAAAAAAAGATACGTTAAATTGGATACTAAGGAGCACGATCATTTTTCTTCTCAAGTGATATTGGTATTCACTGATTTTTTAAATTTTTTTTTTAAATCATATTAATAGTTTGGGTTGGGTCTTTTCCACTGAATCTTCTGCTGTAGCTCGTATACCTAATGATCACTTGTTCATTTCCTGATGTCAGCTATATCTGCTATTATCATTATGCCATTGTAGAAGTTCAGTATATGGTTGCTTTAGAAAAAAAAACCAAAACAAACCAACACCTTGACAATATTGATTATTTGGGCATTGAGGCCCACTGCTGAGCTGTGAACCGTTCTTTACCTTTATTGATTTCAATCAAGGATAACATTCATCTAGCTCGTAACTGCACGTCTACTACTTTGTCATTTTCTTGGGTGGAAGTGTTTCTAGAAAGCATTATTATGAGAAAAATGAGTAAGATAATATTTCCAGTGTTGAGGAATGTATTTACCATAAAGAGGGAATTATATTTACAGCTCTTCAAGATTTACTGTATATAGCATGGAAGCAGATAGTAGTTATATTTATAATTTGGACTAACTCAAAGGAGGAGTCATCCTGTGATAGGTTAGGGAAACAAACTGTAGGACAGTGTTTTTCTCTTGCAGGTAGATAGAACATCAGCACAACCAATATTCGACAGCAGCAAAAATACCTGACGGGCTAAAGTGTATGCCTCTGATAAACAGAACTGGTTTC